CTTCTAAAAGCATAGAAGGAATCATTTAATGAAATTTATTTACTTAATTTATTTGTTAATCTTCTATAAATTATAAATTTCTTTCAGTATTCCCAATAGATAAAGAACGATTATATTAATAATTTCTTTAAGTAGCAAATCTCTATATAAAATCAACTTTTTAAATTGAGTTTTATTAGTTAATAAATGTTTAATTTTAAACACTTTATTTTTATTAAGGAGTTTTACTCTTATATTAATCATTATTTAATAACTATATATTTTAGGATTTTCTAGGAGTTTTTTTAATTATTTAAGCCTCTTTTTGTAACAAAAAATATTTCAAATATATTTCTGGAATTTCCATTTTCATTTTTTTTTCAATTTAATTTATATATAAGATTGAAACTAATGGGATTAAATGTTATATTCTTTATGTTTTGTTTTATAAATATTAGTTTTAAAAGTCTTTAACATTTGTAATAAAAAATTAATCATTAATTTAGATTTATAAAACTTTTTTTAAAAAAAATTAATCTTATAACACTTTTGAAAAAATATAAAATTACAATCATACTCATTAGATTATTAGATTAATTAATTTAATTTTTAAAACATTATTTATTGAAACTAATATTTTTATAAATTAATTTAAATAAGTATTTTATATTTTCTATATACTTAATTTTCTGACGACTAGAATTAACCCATAGTTTTTTTATTGTTGTTTTTTTAATTTTTAATAACTAATATTTATACATAATAATTATTATTTACATTTAAAAAATTTTCACATTAAATTAACAAATTAAATAAAGAAATATATTTAAATTAATAAATATAAATAATATATTAATAATCTTATTTATTATAAATAATCATGTCTAAAGATCTTTTTAATAAATAAATATAAATATAAATATAATATAATAAAAAAATAAATACCTATATTAAAACGATCCGCTAATTTCTTTATATCATCCTAGCTTTTTATATTAGTTTTTTCAAATTAAGAATTAAGTTTTTCTCTTTCTAATTATGCTTATTTACTCATTTCATCTCTTAATTTTCTCATATTTTCAATTTAACTATTCCTTTGTACAAGCTTATGATTAAATTATTCAATCTTTTATTAACTTTCAAATAATTTTGCAGATTTACATCTTTCTAAATTCTTTATGTTTTATTAAACTTTTTAAAGTTTATTCTATTCATGAATGATTCTTTATTTTTGATATAAAATCATTGTTTATCTTTAAAATTCGCTTCTACTATCTAGTTAAAGAGTAAGTTTATCTCTCAATTCCCCTTACATTTTATCATTTATTTAATTAAATTTTATTTATTCCGGTTTTTAATAATTATTTAATAATCTTTTATTCATATATAAATATAAAATAATATGAATTATGAATACCTTTAAAATTATTGTATTCCTTTTTAATCTGATATTTAGGATTAATTTATTAAAGAAGCTTAAATTTATTAGTTATCTTTTTCTACTTTTAAGTAATAAGATACTGTCTTTCCAAGAATTTTTTTATGTTATTCCTTTTAATTCGATTTTATTATATTATTTTTATAATGTTAAAATTATTTTTTTTCTATAAAATCTATTTTTTTTTTATTTTCCAGCTCTAATCTTTTGTTTCTATTATATTCTTCTTTTTCTTCAAACTAATTAAGGTTATTATTTTTTTAAATAAATAAAAATTACTTATAATCTAATTTTATTTAAGTTTTATTTCTCTATTAATCTATAATTTTATAATTAAAATATAATAATTAAATTTATTAATAAAAATAAGGTACCTAGTATTCCTAAGTCTTTTTTCGTAATAGATTCTTTTTATTTCATTACTAAACTTTTTTTATTTTCTAATTTTTTCAATTTATTAATTTTTAAAATAATCCTAATTTTCCATATTTTTTTTCTTTTCTTAATATTATAACTATTTTATTTTCTAAAATTCTCTTATTTATTGCTAAAGTCTTTTTTTTTTCCTTAGTTTTTCTCCTTCTTATGATTCTATTAAACCTTTTTTGATTAATTGCTTTTCTCTCATTAAGTTTAAATAATATTTTTCCTTAGTATTTTTTTATTTAAATAAACTTTTTGAAATATATATTATTTGCATTACTTTTTCTATTGCTTTTTATTATATTTCCTTCACTTTTAGCTTTTCATTAAATTATTTTTAGTTTAATTATTATTTCATTATTTACTACATTTAAATAGCCTTTTTGTAATTTAATATTATTTATATGTTGATTGTATTAATATTTATATTTATTAAGTACTTTTATATGATTTTATTTAAATTCTTCTTCACGAAATTTTTTTTTTTATTCTAATTTATGATTTTTTTCTTCTGCTTTTTGCCTTAAGCGTTGCATTCTTAATTCAGAAATTAACATAAGTTAAACTTCTTATTTCTATAAAAAAATTATTTGCAAATTTAATTTAATGTTTAGATACTTATCTTTTTCTGATTTATCTTATCATTTTTTATTCTTTTTCCTTTATTTTATATTTTTTATTTTTTGTTTAAAAGTTTATTTTTATAATAATTTGTATATTCGAAATATGAAATTATATTTATTTTTACCATTTATAATTAAAGCATTTATGACATTTTTTATTTTATTTAATTTTATTCAATTTTATAAATTATAACTATTTTTATTGTAAAATTAATAATAACAATAATATAATTATAATGAATTTAATAAAAAATATATATTTACAATTAAAAATATTAATAGGAAATTATAATTTATTATAAAATAATAAGTTAAATAACTTAGTTATAAAATAAAATTGCTTAATAAAAATGCAAATTTAGAATTTTAAAATTTTCTTTTCTTTTTATGTAATATATTTTTATTTATAAATAAATTATCTGATATACACATATTTTAATATATATTTATATCAAAAGTATATTTTATTATATCTTTATAAAATCTTATAGATACAAATTGTCTTTTTTATATTAAATAATTTTTTTTTATATAATTTAATAACAAATGAAAAAAAATTATAAAATTGCCTTAAAGATATTATATTATAAAATTATATATTTTATGTATTTATTTTGTAAAATAAAATTTAATGTCTATTAAGTTTTTTATTATTTTAATAATCGACATATATTATTAATGAATATTATATATTAAATTATTTTACTTATACAATATATATCAAATAAAAAAATTCTTTTATTTTTATCAATAAAGTATAAACATATTATTTATTACATTAAATTTAAAATATATTTTTAGTTATAGTTAAAAAGTTTTTTTTTTAAATTATATAATATTTTATTTTAAAATTTATACATTTTTATTTTTTTCAAACATATTTTAAATAAAAATAATATAGTAAAAAAGTATAAAATATATTTAATTTTATATAATTATTATTTTTTAAAAAAAAATATATAAATAGGATATAATAAAAAAAATTAAATTTTTTAAAAGAGCGTTAAATATCTATCCTAAAATTATAAATGAAATATTATATCTAAGTAAAATGTATAAATTTCGATATCAATAATGAAACAAAACTTCTCTCATCTAGTAATTCATAATAAAATAATGTTTAATAATTTGTAAATTATAATAAATAATAAATATATATTAATAAAATTATTATAATAAGATATATCTATTAATAAAAATAAAATAAAATTAATAATAACTATATATTATATAATTTTATTTTTAATATTTTATATAATAATAATATTTATATATAAATTAAACTGAAAAAGTAAATAATTATTATTTTCTGAAAAAAAATTAATTAATAATAAAATAAATAATTTATCCAAAGACTGTGAGGGATTAAAAATTAAAATTACAAAGGTTTATAAAAATAATATAATATATAAAGTAATATAAATCATGAAAAAATAATTAAAAAATAAAAGTGTAATTTAATAAATAATATTGATATAATATCATATATATAAATAAAAGTATTTATATTATTATTATTTATAAAATAATTAAAAGTTGAATAATATTATCAAATTTTGTAATATGATTAAATAAATTATATATGGTCTGGTATATTTACACCATACTTAAAATATAGCACACTCTGTTATTAAACCTGAAAATATTTTCAAAATGTTTTATTTTTTGTTTTAGATGATTTTTGATATTTTTAATATATTTAAAACAACTTATCATTTTAATAATAATTATATTTTCTTTCATTTTATTTCCTTTTTTTTAATTCATAATTCAGTTGTTATAGTAAATAAAAAAAATAAGGGATATTTTAATGAATAAATATCGATATATGCTTTTCTGTTATACCGATTTTTTAATCAAGCTCAAATTTATTATTTAATAGATTTACTTGTAAAAATGTTTCAGTGTGTAACTGAAAAAATAATTTCTTGTTTCATTAACATAAAGTTAAATTAAGCATAAGAAAACATGTTTATATGTTTTATTATATTATTTAAAGATAAGCAAGCTCAAGACATAATATATTATTATATAATGTAATGAATAAATATTTTAGGCTATTCATAATCTGAAATATTGATTTTTCTTAATAATATCAATAAAAATAGACGAAATGTTATTTTTCAATCTGAAAAATAAAAATTTATAATATTAATTTATTTTCTAATTCATTACTAAATTCAAATTTTTGAAACTAAATTTGAAATATCATCAATAATTACTTAAAATAAAATCAATTTATATTTTAAATTAGTTTTTTTGTATTAAAAAAATAAGTAAACATATATTAAAATTAAATAAATAAAGTTTTTAAATTAATATAAAATAAAGGTATTAATTACATTATGTAAATAATTTAGGTAAATTGAAATATTTTTTTTTTTAAATAAATTTGTATTATTTATATTTATAATTATTTTTTTCTTTCTTAAATATTTAATATATATATATATATTTTAATTTTTTTGATTGAATAATAAAAAATGTTAAACAAAGAACATACATAACAATAAAATAAAAAAAAAAAAAAAAAGAAATCATTTAAGTAAAACTTTGTTTATATCTTCAACTAATTTTCTACATTCTTCTCTAATTATTTCATAATTCATATCTTTTGTTTTTGTAATAATAAAAGCTTTTAAGTTATTAACATTATTTTAACTATTAGAATATTTCTTTTCTGCTTCACTATAACTAGTGTACATTTCATGCATTAATAATTTTTTTTCTTTTAAGTTATGATCATAATTAATTTTTCTTAACTTTAAAAAATAAAAAATAAAATAAATTAACTTAAATTAATTATAAATTTTAACTTCATCTACTATAGTGTTTTTATAATTTTGTAATTCATCTCTTTCTTTTTTTAATCTTTTTTCTTTGTTTTCAAAATCAACTTTAATTTGTTGAATTCTATTAAACTTAGTATCGATTTCACTTTACATACTTTAAAGTTTTTCATTTAATTAAGCCATTTACTTTATTTTATTTTTTTATATAGATTAAAATATAATTCAATATATGCATATATATAAATAATACCTAATTAACACTTTCTTCTGCTGACTCTAGTTTATTCAATTAATCTTTTCTTAATTCAACTTCTTATCTTAAAGCAAATAAAGTTTTTTCTGAATTTTCAGCTTATTCGCCCTTTTGTTTATTTTATAAATATTTTTTTGTTTAAATAATAATAAAAATAACTTTAAATTTCAAATTTCCAGTCATTTCATTGTATTCCTAATAAGATGGTAGATTTCCTGTCAAAGCTAAATACTTTGATGATTATTCTAATTAAGAAACAATATTATTTTCTATTTATCTGATTTCTTCTATTTCTTTTTTTCTATTATTTTCATAATTATCCATAAAATCAGTAATTTCTTTATCTTTTTAATACAAGAATTCATATTTTTTTTTCTATTCTTCTTTGTCAGTGCTAGAAGATAATTCTTAATTCAACTCTCTTATTTTTTTTTTCATAATTATCAATATTTTTTTAAATTTCTTTTATTCTTTTGTCAGTTTATGTAGTTAAAGCATTATCTTCTTTTACTCTATTTAATAATCTATCTCTTGCTTCAGGAAAGCTAAGATTAGCCTTAAGATTAAAATTAAAATAAAATTAAAAAAATAAAATAAATACTTCATTTAATTGCATTTCAAAGTCTTCTTTTTTCTCTTGAAAGTTCAATAATTTATTCTTTTAAATATTACCCTTTTAATTTTTAAGAATCCATTCTTAATCTAGATTCAACTTAAGAAGTTTATTATTTAGTTCATCCAAAATCTATCTCTACATATTTATTTCTTAATTTAACTATCTATTTTCTTTTACCAAATTATCATATTCTTATCTCTAATCAGGATCTAACTCTGTAATTTTTTATTCTGCTAACTAAAAAAAAAAAGATATATTTTTTTAAAAAAAGTTAAAAATTACTTAAGTTATTTAGTTTAATTATTGTTCAATTTACATAATTTACTCTTCTTAATTTTTTCTTTCAATAAATATTTCATCTAATTATTCTGCCTATCTTTAGTTCTAAAATTTTATATGTTCATACATATTTCTTATTTCTTCTGGTCTTGTTTAACTTCTTTATTTATCAAAAGCAAGATTATAATCAGCTAATTAACCTTCCAAGCTTCTTACTTATTTAATTAATTCATCAAATCTTTTATTTTTTTTATTAAAATTTTTAATATATTTTTTTTAAATATAACCTCTTTTATAGATTGTTATAAGTCTAATTATCTTGCTAAATTTATTCAACCTTTTCTTTAAATTTTTTTATTTAGTCTATTATATCAGATGTTTTTTATCTTAAAATGTTCATAAAATATCCTTTATCTTAATAAACCCTTCCTTAACTTTAAGGTTTTGTACTCATTCCTGTCATTCCATCTTTAGTTACTGGCCTTTCAATAATTTTTAAATTAGGTACTCCTACTCCTTAAAAACCTCCATCACCCTTTTTTTTAAATAAAATTTAAATAAATATGAAATTATTATTTATATATATATATTTATTTTTCCATACTTTTATTCCAGTAACTAAACCTTTTTATGCTGTTTATATTGGTCTCATTCTATTAATTAATTTATAAATATTAAATTTTTGTAAGTAAATATATATGTTTATATTATTTACCCAGTTTTTTAAGCTGTTGGTATACGGGGATCCATTTTTTTTATTTTTTAATGTATTTATTATTATTATTTTAATATATTAGATAAAAATTTTATTTTTTAAATAATTTTTTATATATTTATTTTATTTTTTTAAATTTAAAAATATTTATATTAATATATTAATTTTTTACATTATTTTTATTTATAATTAATATAATTTAAAATATATAAATACGGATATAAAACATACTTATGATTTTTAATGAAAATTATTTTTTTTTATATATAAAAATTTTATAAATTTAATTTAAATTTATTTATATTTGATAAAGCATAATCTTAAATAAATATTTAAATCATTTGTATATAATTTCATTTTTATCATCTTAAGATTTTTATATATAAATCTTTTATAAATTTATAATAAAATTTCTAGAATAAATAAATAAATAAAAATTACATTTTCAAATATTTCTTCAGCTTTAAAATATACCTAATTTTCTGTTATTTTGTCTTATTTAATAACTAATGGTTATATATTTTAATCTTCAGAATAAATAACAATTTCTTAATTATTTTCGTCCCATAAAAATATAATCTAAAAGAACTAAAAATCCTAATTTTCAATTTAACGATATCCCAAAACTTTATAAATATTCAAAAATTGAATATTAAACATTTATTAACAATATTCAATACTTTTAGACATACTTAATTATTCAACTTATTATATAATTAATAATTTTTTTGATATAATCTTATTATTATTAATTATATTATAAATAGCTAAAGAATTTTTCTTTGCTTAAAAAAATATCAAATCTGAATAAGTATTATTTGCTATCTTTACTTTATAAAATTTTAATTTTTAATTTATTATAAATTTTCTCATTTATTAAAATGCTTTTATCAATTTTTATTTTGTAAGAAATCTTATTTAGTTGTTTTCTACATAGAACTAATTTTATATATTAAATTTTTAAAAAATAACTTTTTTATTATTTTTTTTACAAAATATTATTTCTTTAGTTTCTCGACTTAAAGATTATATGCAGGTATTTTAATTTATTTTATATATTTATTATAAGATCTTATTAAATACTCATTTTATGTATTATCCAATAAAATTAATAATTCAAACATAATTTTATCTGAATGGTTTGGGACTTCAATTAAATCTATTTTGTTAATATTATCAGAATTCAAACAATTTTTTTTATTCTAATTTTAAATATTATTATTTATATTTAATTCTATAAATTAAAGATTAAATATAGGTGTTGTCCTTTGTGAATAAAAAAGTGAGTTATCATTATTTTAATCAATTTTAATTAAAAAATCATTATTAATTTAAATTATTAATGCCTATTTTAAAAAAACACTTTGTAAATAATAATAATAATAATATGTTTCTACCTGCTTAATTAAATCATTTGAAATTTTCTTAATTTAATTTATATTATTTATTTCTTTAAGATTATATTTATATGTTTTTATAGGTAAATCCCAAAGAGGCTTTATAAATAAGTCATTACTTTCTTTTACTGCTATAATTTAGATATATTATTTATTTTATATTTAAACAACACCTTTTGATAATATTTAAGATTATTCAATATATGAAAAAGTCTGGTTTTCATCCCAAAAAATTCCATTTTCATAATTAAAAACGCATCTATCAACTATATGTTATTTTGATATTTTTATCAAATTTTCAAATTAATATTTTTCAAAAGGAATAGCATAATACTTATAAGGATTTTTTTATTTTTTTAATGTCTTCAAACAAACAAAAGAATTAAATTTACCTTTAAATAAGTACATTTTGCCCTTTATTTCTTATTCATATTATTACAAATTTAATTCAATTTCAAAAAATCTTTTTTAAAATAAAAAGCGTATTATACCAGACTTTATTAATCTAACATACTTTAACTTTATATATTTAATCTATTCATCTATAATTAAAATCTATTTTTATTTTTTTTTTTTTTTATAATTTCTTAAAAATACTTCGTTTTATATTATCCATTTATTTACATCTTATAGTTTGATATTTATTTCCAAAGATTAATAATTAGATTAATTTTCTGATCTAATGGTTAATTATGACTTTTTTTGATTGTAATCAAAAAGTAGGCTAATTTTTTTTTAGCTTTTGAAGCATACTACTTGTTTTTTACCAAATTTAACGATATTATTAAAATCAGATAAAATATTGGAAAATTTTTTATTAATGCAGTTGGTTTTTTAAACTTCATTACACACAAACTTAAATTTTTATAATTCTTTAATAGCATTAATCTTATATGTTGTTTTAATCTTTTATATATAAGCTTTTTAAATTATAATTGTATTAGAATTATATATTAAATAAATCAAAAGACAACAATTTTTCATTATTTTAAGAAAATATTATTTATGAAAAATTTTATAGAACCTAAATAAATAAAATGAAATATTTTTAATTATATAATTATTATATTAAACTAGTATCTATTTTTATCACATCAAAAAGTTATTTTTACTTATAAATAATTAACTCTTTTATATCATAATCAAAATAAAAATTGTAGAATTCCTATTTATTTTTCTAAAAATAAGAAATAAAAATTAATTAGTTTTCATTTAATTAATATTGTTGATTTTAACTTTCCTCTTACTAAGAAGCCTATAATTATAATTATTTTATTTAATTTTATAGGCTTTTTATCAATTCTTATTGCTATTAAATTTAAGTATTTTAATAATCTATATTTTTTTAAAATTCGTCTGTATTTTTAATGTTTTAATTGAGTTCGCCATTTAAGCTGTTTTAATATATTTTTGCTTATTTTTTTTAATTTATTCTAAGAATAATATAAATTTTAGTTTTAATAATTAAAATATTATTATTAACAAAAAATCTTTCTTATATGGTCATTTTATTTTTAAATTTATTAAAAATTTTAAACTTAATTTTATTATTAATTTTTTTAGTCTAAATCCTAATTTTAGTTAAATATTCTTGTTAAATTTCGATTTATTAAATTAAACTCTTTTAACTCTAATTTTATTTTTAACTTTTTATTTTTGTGTGTTTAATCTTTTTTCTAAATAGACAATTCAGTAAAATATTATTACTTAAAATCATATTTAGAATTATAATTATTTTTATTATTTATTTCATCTTTAATTTTAAATAAAAAATTATTTTTTACCATCTTCTAATATTTATCGTAAAATTTTTAAGTAAAATAATTATTCTAACCCATTCCTTATAAGCAGTTTTTGTAAGCTTCCTTATATAATTAAAGTGAATTTTTATAATTTTAATAATAAAATGTTATTTTTGCGAGTGAATTTTGACACACTGCTAATTAAAGATAAAGTTCTAATTTTTATTAATTTTAATGATTTTGATATAGGTTTAAATTTAGCTCACTTATAAAACATGCTTTTTTAGTAATTTCAAATGCTTACTTAAAACTATATTATATGTTTTTAAAGATTATATAAAAATGCTATGTTAATAAAATATTATATATAAATACTCTCCATTTTTAAATAATATAGACGAATAACTAGCTTATATAAAGCCAACATACATATTTGATGGATTTTCACTTATAATATTTAAGGATTAATTCAATAAATCTTTTGATTCATTATATTTTTCTTAAATTTATAATAAATTAATTCTGTAAAAGTTTGTTAGTAGTTATAATTCAATCATTTCGCTAAAAGCTGATGTCGTCAATTTATATGATAAATTATTTATTTTAATTGCTTTTTGAAGATTTTTTTCACTTAAAAACTTCATTGATAAATTATTTAATTTATAAACAAAATTAGAAAACTCATTTTAATTATTAACAAAAATATTTGAATTTAATAAATCTATTTTTGTTAGAAATAAAATAAAAGTATTATAAAAAAATTAATAATTGATTTACTTTATTACAAATTTTAATATTCCTCTTAAAAATTATCTGTTTATTATAATGCTTCTATATATTTTCGAGACTCGAATGCGTCATTAAAATAGTTTTAGTTTATGCTTTATCTTAATTAAATTTTTTAATTTAAGCTTTAGTAATTTATATTTATATTCTTAATGTTTATTTATGAAAAATAAATATAATTTTATAATTGTATTTTTTTTATATACCTCATTATTCTATTTTATTTATTGCTCTTTCCTAATTTGAATTAAACTTGATTATGAATGAATAAAGTTTTTATTTTTAAAATTTTATTTTTAAAAATCTTAATAGCCAACTATTTTTTATAAATTTTATTATTTATTCATTTAATTTGACTTTATATTTATTATAATTATATTTTTAAATTTTTTTTTATTTTAATCTTATATAAAAATATTTTGTTTATTATTTACTAAAAAAATAATTAAGAAAAATAGTATTTTATAAATTAAATATTAAATTATAAATTTGATTTAAAAATATTTAAATTAATTATAATACTATATTTAATTAATTTTTTCTTATTTTAATAATACTAAATTTTTAGTCATATTTAGTTATACTTATTAGTAAAAACTATTTTATTCAAAAAAAAAAAGGCTTCTAAAAATGGATAATGAAATTTTATATGAATTGAGTTTTTAAAACAAAATTCAGATCTAAAATTAATCGATAAATATATAATAAATAATAAAATAATAAAGTTTAATTAATATTTTATAAATCATTTATAAATTAAATATATATTTTTATTATATAAAATAAGAATAAAAATTATTAGATAATATATTCTAAAATTATATTTTTAATGTTGATTTTAAATATAAAACAATAATATATATTAATAGTTAATTTTTTTGTTTATTTTATTATATTTAAATATAGTTTAAAATAAGCTTATTTTCCTTATCATTTATTTCTTTTACTTTTCTAAGATTTAATTTTTCCATATTTATTCTAATATTCTATCAATTCTTATTCATATTTAGCTTTAGCTTCAGCATATTAACCTTCATATTTTTATTTCTCTTATATACTTGCTTTTTTCCATTATTCAGCCATCATACTTATTAATTAGGTAATTCTAGCATTGGGATGCTATTTTTTAACTTTTTCATGGTTTTCTTACTTAAACAAGAAAAAACTTGATAATGGTCTTTTTGGAGGTAAAGGCTATTTTATAAAAATGTAATTCAATATAAAGAACAAAATTAAATTATCAAAATATATAAAATATATTTATTTATTTTAGTGATTTACTTTTTCTTCAGACTAGAAATTGTTTCTTACCATTTTATAATTATTTTAGTAATTTATTTTTTTATAATATTATATAAAGTTTTTAAAGAGAAAATAATAATAGATTTTAACGAATTATTAATATAATGAAAATAATTAGAATATTTAAATAGTGAATTAATTATATAAATCTATAAATTATTATATTAGTATAATTATATAAATTTATTTTATTATTGTAAATTATTAAAGTTTTTATTAAATATATAATAATATTAGATAATTTTAAAAGTAAAATTAAATCAATTTAAAATAATAAATATGTTTTTAAATTTTAATGTATTTACTTTTCACTTATAATTTGTATTTAAAAATACTGAAAAATAAAAAAATTATATTGGAGAATTATAAGGATTTATTTACAATTTTAAATTAAAATATGAAAAATATATTAATAAAAATTCTATATAAATTATATATTATTAATATATTTATTATTAAGTTTTATTAAATATATTACACTATATTTTTTTTCAATAATTTTATATATATTTTTTTATTTATATATTGTTATTAATTTTTAAAAAAATATTAATTAAATTATAAATATTTAATTATAATTGATAACCAGAAAATATTTATCATTATTATCATTATAATTTAATTTTATAGTTGGCTTTTAAAAATAATAAGTTTAATGTTTAAATTTATTTACTAATGTAATATAATTTATAAAATTAATTAAAAACAAAATTAATATTGTTTTAAAATAAATACAATTACATTTAATATATTAATTATGTAAATTATAGTCTTATTATTCATAAAAAATGTTATTATTTTTTTTGAAATATCCCCATATTATTTATTTTATTGTCAATTTTATTTTTTGTTTCAAATAATTTTTTTATATTTTGAAAATAAATTAAAAATATCATAAAGAAAATGAGTGATAGTTTTAAATTAAATTATATACATATTAATTAATACAAAGTACAAATATTTATCATTATATAGTTTTATTTTATAATTTATAGATATATTTTAAACATAGCAATAATGTAAAAAAATATAAGTTCTTCTCCTTATAAGTATCCAAATGAAATATATACACATAAAAATATAAAAAATAATTATAATTTTTTAAATGAAGATGATTCTTTAAGAAAATTTATTAAATCCCAACAAAAATTGTTATTAAATTATATAAAAGCAATACGCCTAATAAAAAATGTTATATTGTAATGTTAACACCACGACATTACTGTATTAATTTTTCAAACAATCTAAATTTACTCAATTATTTAACAATATTTTTATACTTTATTACAAAATAAGTTAATATCAACATATTTATCTTACATGATTAGAGATTTTATGATAATTATAACTTAAATACTTAAATATTAAAAAAAATATTATTTCGTTTAATTTTTAATATAAAAATATTTTTATTTATATTTAAATATATGTTTAAATAAATATTCATTAAATTTAATAATAGTTAAAAAAAATTATTTTTATTATCTAAAATAAGGTTATAATATAACTAAAAAAAAATTAACATTTTAATTAAAATAATAATAATAAATTTAATGAAATAAATGCATAATAAAATTTATAAAAATGATATTACGATTAAATTAAAAAACTTAAAGTCTTAATATATTAAAAAATTATAAAATAGAATTTTAAAATTCATTTATTAATAAAGTTAAAATTATTATATATAAATAATTTTTAATATTTATAAATACAATCATATAGCTTAATAATTATTGATACTATGTCTTATTTCTTTTTTATCATTGTTCACAAAAATCCAATTATTAAGTTCGTTTTTACTATACTTTTCTTACTTTTTTTTTAACTTATTTTTAAGTTTTTTCTTTTCCTTATAGCATTGACATCCTTGTATTTAATAACTTAAATTATCTAAGTTTTCTCTATAAAAACAATAAGGAAAAGATAAAGGAAGAGATTTATTTCTTCCAAAAAGTATAACTGTTACATATTTTAAATTATTTTAAACAGGATTTAAAATTTCTTATGAAATAAGTATTTAATCAATATTATTAAAATCTAATAAACTATCAAATTCAACTCTGTTCCAAAGTAAATTATTTTCTCTAATCAAAATGAAATTTTTAACTTTAAGTTCGATTGGATTTGATCCTTTTTGCTTTAAATTCATAATATCGTTTTAAAAATTAAAAAATAACCATTCTTTTATTTAATACATTTCTGATTAATTTTAATTTAATTAAGCTTCTAATTAGATATGTTATTCTATTTATTATTAATTTTAAACTAATTCATATTTATTATCTTATATTAATTTTTAAGAATCTTCTAAATTAAAAGATAATTAATTAAAAGATTTATAATTTTATATAATTTAATGTAAATTATTTTGTAATTAAAATTTATTATCTAACATTGAAATTTTTAGAGTTTAATAACTATAAAAAAAAGTTCAATTTATTTATATATTTATTTTTTTATTTATTTATTTATTTATTTATTTATTTATTTATTTATTTATTTATTTTTTTATTTATTTAATTTTATATATGATATAAAACTATTTTAATACAAAAATATATATTTTATTAATTTAATATTTTTTTTTTTTTCTTATTTTATTTTATTTCATGCAATCTTATTATTTTTTTTTTTTATATATATTTATATATATATGAATTATTAACAACTTTTAATTTTTACTTTTTTAAAATTAATTTATCTACTTTTTAAATAAAGATATTTAAATCTATTAATTTTATTTTTGTTTTGAATTTTATATATATAATAAATAAATTAATATAAGATTATTATATATATTTTTTTTATATTATAATTTATATAACTTTGTATTCTTTTTTTTAATAATTTATGATTTTTTTTTTCTTTTTTTGTTTATTTTAATTGCAAATCAAATTATAAGATATTTAATAATTTATTATATATTAAAAAAAAAAATTATTAAAATTTAAAGAAATGGAAAAGTCAACTCTAAATATCCCATCATACATCCAAGAACCAAACTATCGGTATAAATTATCTTTAACATATAAATATAATTACTGTAAGTTATTAAATGCCGCGAATGATTTTGAAGATAGAAGGTAAAGGAAATGGAATCAAAACTAATGTTGTTAATATGAATGAAGTGTCTAAAGCATTAAGAGTTCCAACTGAATGTAATTATATTATTTTTTTTAAAATAAATTAAACTATTTTAATTTTGAAGTTCTTTTAAATTTTTTTTATTTTTTTATTTAGATCCTTTAAAATTTATGGGTATTGAATATGGTTCTTAAATTATTTTCAAAGAAAAAGGTAATGATGTTTCAACTATTATTAATGGATCTTTTAAGGTAAAAAGAAATTTAAATATAAATTATATACATAAGTGTGTATTAATAAAAAAGTTGATTTTAGTGCAAATATTTTAATATTTATTTGATTATATTAATATTTTAATTTATTTATAAAATATAAATATATTAATAATTTTTAGTCTATCTATTTTTATTTTTATGTTTTACTAAAATAATAAAGGAAGAATAACTTTAAAAAACATTAGATAAGTTCATAGAAAAATATGTTTTATGTCCTAAATGCAAATATCCTGAATTTGTTTTAAGAGTAAAATAAAATACAGTATGTGGAAAATGCGATTCTTGTGGAGAAAGAGCAAAATGTGATAATACACATAAATTTGCAAGTTATATAATAAAAAATCCTCCAAAACTAAGAGGAATAAATAAAGAAGAATAAAAAAATCAAAAAGAAGAAATAGTTCCAGTAGGTTAAGTACCTGTACCAGCAGATAAATAAAAAGACTTAAAGAAAGAGAAGAAAGTTGAAGAAAAAGATTTAGTAAAAAATATTAAAAAATTAGAAGCAAGCGATTTATTATTAGAAAGTGAAAATCTTAAAAATAAAGTTGAACAATTAACTGAATGTATTAAAGGTTAAAGGAATTAAGGTATTATTAAATATATATATAAAATATTAATTTATTTTTAAAAAAAGATGGAGAAATAATAGATTTAGATATAGCATTAGCTAATATAATAAAAGAAATAAAAGATTTCTAAATAAATAAAGGATTAGAAAATTAAATATCACATATTGTGTTTTAATCTATTTTTACTGTCAATATTGCACATGAAGTAGATTGTAATGCTGAATTATTACAAAAGTTATATAGTAAGTTAAAAATTTAAAAAATGGAAGATGATATTTTATTGAATTTATAATACTTCTTTTATAAAACTTATCAAAATTAAGATTTTACACAATATATTCCTACTATTTTAAAAATATTTTATGATAATAATCTCATTTCAGAATAAATTATTGTTGATTGGGCCGATAATAAAATTGATCTTAAAGATCATTTCCTTTATAATGAAATTTTTAATAATAAATTTAAAGAAGATACTAACCAAATCGTTGAATGGCTTAGAAATGCTGATTATGATGAATAAGAAGAAGAAGTAATAGAAGAAACTGAAGAATAAAAATAAGCATAAAATTGATTTCTTAATCTATTCTATTCTATTTTTAGTTTTATATTAAAAATTTATTTAATTTTTTTATTAGTTTATTTTTTAATAAATTTATTTTTTATTATTTTAAAATATTTAAAAAGTTTAAAAACATTAAAATAAAAATATATCTAAATTTTATAATAAAATAATTATAATAATTTTTTTATAAAGTATTTTATATATAAAATATAAAAAAACTTATTTACATCTTTCTTATATATATAATAAATACACTTATGATTTAATTATTTTATCTATTTATATATTATATTTTAACATATGAATTTATATATTTAAAGAGAATTTAGCAAACCATATATAGATGACATATTTTAGACATATATATATATATTATTATATTCAAAAAACAATATAAAAGTAAATTAAATTTTATTTAATATAATTAATAAATAAAAAAATATATATCTAAAATTATTAATTCAAATCTAAATAAAAAAAAATATTAATATACTAATAAAATAAATTAAAAAATAAAATAAAAACAAATAAGTATAAAAAAAAAATATGTTAAAAATATTTGGAAAGCTAAAAAAGAATATATTACCAACAAAATAATATTATAAAAATATCCCAATAACAATAAAATCTAGATTTTCTACAATATCACAATAAGTATCTTCCGAAAAATCCTATGAAGAAAAGAAGAAAATTCACGAAGAATTAACATCTCGTCATTATTTAAATCAAATAGCCAAACAACTGCAAGAGTTATCTTTAAAAATCTACAAAGGTGATCAAAATTAACACTAAGAAATAATTTAATAATTATAAAGTGAATTAAATTAAGTATATGGAAAAAATGCATATAAAATAGCGAATTTGTCATATAATTATGAAATTATAGGACATAAAGAAGGAGTAATTACAGGAAAATATTCTCTTATGAATCAATCTTTAAAAGAACATGAATATGGGCAAATTCTTAATCCTAGTAACTAATAATGGCTAAATGAATTATAAAATACTACTTATTTAAATATTGATGAAAAAAATATTAATTTAAATGTTGTTGAAGAAAATTCTCATTTTTCTTTAATTTTGGATGACTTTAAATAGGATGAGTACGTATAAGAATTAGATGATAATTAAGTAATTGTTTTTAATTTTCCTGTTAATTGGGATAAAAATGATATTCTAAATTTCATTTCTTCTGAAATTAATGTTCCTTTCTAATCTATTTCTGTTACTGAATGTGTTATTTCTCTACCTGCTTTTGCTACTCTTACTTTTAATAATTAAAAAGATGCATTAACTTTCAAAAATTTAGTTAATACCAAATAATATAAGTCTGATCTTAGACATCCTTTATAAGCTTGTACTTTTGAAGATTCGAGAAATGAACATTCCTTAAATAGAACTTTAGTTATTTAAGGTTTTTTTCCTGATTAAAAGTTAACTGTAATTATTATTATTTTTTTTATAAGCAAATAAATTTTTTAATACAGGATTTACTTTTTGAATTATCTTCATATGGAAGAGTGGTTAATCTTGAATTTATTGAAGAACCTTAACATTAGGCTTTACCTACAAGTCAATAAGTATTAGATTATTTAAAGAAAAATGTAGATGAAACTAATACTTAATTTGTTTATGAAATCAATGACTTATCTTAAGATATACCAAAAGTTATAGAATATCCACCATATAACCCTATTTTTAATTTAAGTATATATATTAATAAATACAAAAATTAATTTATTTAAAAAAAAAAAAAAGATAAAGGTTAAAAAACAATAAATGATATTAGTAAATAAGTTTAAGAAGAAGAAGAGAGACTTCAGGAATTCGCAAAAAGACAATTAATACCAAGAATTGTGTTAAATGTTCATGACGGATATAAAAATGTGCCTGAAGAAAGCCAAAAAATATTAAACAAAAGCATTTAATAGAAGATCATATAATAATAAAGAAGTATTCATAAATCAAAGGGTTATGTATTTGTTACTTTTGCAAATAAAGAATAAACATAAACTGCATACTTTCATTTGTCTGAGACTAAAATATTTAATGTGTAATTAAAAAAATTTAATGAACATTATAATTTTGATAAAAAACACTAAGAATATTTGTAATATTTATTAATTTTATTCATATTTAAAATAAATAAACTAGATATAAAAAAATACGACCAATAAAAAATAAAATAAAAGAATAATTAATTGAAAAGAATTTAATAGAAATGGAATAAAATGAAATACTTGAAATGAGTCATTAATAATTTAAAAATGCTTTAATTTAAGAAGCTAATAGTAAGAATTTTACGAATGAATTATCAAAAACTATTGAAAATGAATAAATAGGAAGATCTTAATATAGTTTGGAATAAAAGCTTCAGTTAAAATCAGATTAATTAGGAAGATAATTCAATAATTAAATAACTTAGAAAGACTTTAATTAAATATAGACATAACTAAAAGACCTATAAGATAAAAATTTAGAATAATTGGAAGATTTGTAAGTGCATTAAAGCTAAATTCTTAATTAATATAGATCTAAAATTCTTAATTCAGATTTAAATGATGTTAGTCATGAATATTTGCTAAAAAATTAAAATGTGATTGAATAATAATTAGATTAAAATGAGATAGTTTAAAATAAAAAATAATAATAGTTATAAATTTTCAAATTAAAATAATTAGAAGATAAAAAAAAAGAAGAAATTTAAAGATAATGGATTGAATAATAAAAATTTTATTTTGAAAATAAAATCCTTCTTGCTAATTAAAAAATTATTAAAAAAAAAAAATATACTGAAGAAGGTGGTGAAGAAGAACCTGCATAAGAAAAAGAAGAAGAAAAAGAAAAAGGAGATTAATATTATTAACCATTAACTGATATTGAAATTAAATACAAGTAATATTTTTATTAATTTTTGTTTTATTTTATTATTTATTTTTTTATTAAGAAATATTAAATATGAAAAGTATTTGTAAGAACTTTAAAATCTTTATGATGGAGACTATACAGAAGAAATGAGAGAAAATATTTTTGGTGAAAAATCTAAATAAAGCTGTAAAGATGTTGATGGTTAAATTTTTTTGAATTAAGAAAAAAGTGATTTTTATAATAGAATAGTACTTTCAGATTAATAAATTGAAGATAAAAAATATTTTGAAGAAAATAAACATTTATTACCAACTTATGGTATAGAATAAGTTTTATAAGGTTTAAAAGAAAATCCTGAAGGAACAATGAGATTAATATAAGAATTTCAAGTTCCAGATGAAGTCTATGATATTAAAAAGGAATAATTAGTAGATAAGGAAGGAAAATAAGTTCCTTTATAAAATTATGTGTAAGATTTAAATAATTACATTGCTTAATTGGGAGAAAAATTCGAAGCTTAAAAAGATAGTTATGGAGATGATAAAATTATGAAATTCATAAATAAACCTTATAAAGTCCCTATTAAAATTTTAAATATTGACGAAAAAAATTCAATTAGAAATATTTTAAAAGGATATGGACTTTAAGATGATTAAATTGAAAAAGAAATTGCTTATTTTGTTGAACATGGAGATTATTCTAGTTACATTTATAAACATTTTGATAAAAGTTAAAAATAACTTGATTTTGACGATCTTTAATTTTTAATTGAAAGTACTGGTTTAAGCTAAGCAGGTATTTTTTGATAAGTTTTTTTTTTTTTTTTTAATTTTTTTTTTTATATAGAAATTGAAAGTATTATTAAATTGGATTTAGAAAAAGATGGATACGAAGTTCTTCAAGGACTTTAAGAATAATAAGAAAAAATTAAAGATAATATTTATAATAAACCTTTAAAAAATGAAGACTTAATTAAAAGTATTATTTATAATAATTATTTTATTTAAATAAAAATTTTAAAAAGCTAATTATAAATTAAGAAACAAAGATTAGAAAGGAAAATTTATAGCAACTAGATTTAAAACTATTTGAAAAAACATTAATAAAGAAGATATTTAAAAATATATACCTTTCTATAAGTTTAGAATTTATTTAATAAAATTAATATACCGATAAAAGCATATCTAATATATCTTTTTTTAATTTTTTTCATTTAGTTTAAGAATAATAAAATTTAAAAAATAAAATATGCAATAGATATTCATAATATATTCCATTTTTTTAAATCTTATTTTCTTTTAATTTATAAATATATTTTATTGTATTAAATTTATACTAAAAAAATAATTTTTAGTAATTCATTTGAAATTATTATTTTTCTTTTAATTCTTAATATAATAAATAAACCAATAATCCCATTATAATAATCTTAAATATATAATTAAATTAATGCAAAGATAATTAAATATATATAAAGCTCAATCATATTTCAAAATATTTGTCAGAAATATTTTATTAATAGCAATGATTGGATATTGATATATAATAAATAATTACTGAAAAAATATTGAAATAAATAACTTGATAGTAAAAACATAATTTACAATCCATTAATTAATAACAAATTTTAAATTAATAAAGAAATATCGAAAAAAAAAAAAGATGATTAACATAAAAAATTATTTTAGCCAAATATTAACAAACATAACAATAATAAGAATTAAATAATATTCAAAATAAGTAGAAGAATATAATTAATAATAGTAATCATTTATTTAATAAAGTTAAAATTAATAAATTTAGTATAATTTCAATTCCTTTAATTAAATAAGCTATATACCAGATTATAAAATCAAAGAAAAATATAGAACGTAAATTAAAATAAATTATTTATAGTTTAAAAATATTATCTGAAATCCTTATTAGTAAAATAATAAAATCTAAAAAAAAACTATTATATGTAGAAAAGACAAGAATTTAAATAATTAGAATATAATCTTTTATAAAAAAAAATTTTAAAAATAGGAAATCCATATATATATATATTTATATATATATATATAATATATATATCTATATATATATCTATATATATAGATAGATAGATAGTTAAAGTTGTTTTAATAAAATCTTACTTTTTAGCCAAATATACATAAAATTATTAGTCAAATTATAAGTATAAAAAAGCCTAATTATTTTTAAAATGTCCATAAAATATTATATAAATAATCTTCTATAAAATAAAGTTATATTGAATTAAAAATATAATAAAAATAAGATGAAATAAGCCATTCCAGAAGTGTTAATAAGTTAAAAGACTCTTTTATAATTATATTTTTTTTATTTTTGTTTAAATAACATTTATTGTTAGTACAGAGAAAAAATTCATACCTATTTAAATTTATATAATTAAAAAAAATTAAGATAAAAATTAAGATAAAATTTTAAAAATAAATTTAGACTTTCTTTAAAACAAATCAAATAAATTTAATGATTGATTAATAGATTCTCAAAATATTGATTTATAGGACTAACATTTATAAAAGAATATCTCCTGTTTTAATTAAAATGAAAAATATTAATTAATCTTTGAATAGATTATTAATAATTTTACTTAATTAGATAAATAAATATCTTTTAATTTGTTTTATTTTATTTTATAAAACACATTATTTTATTTTAATTATGTTATTTTTATAAAAATATAATAACTAAGTATAAAAGGAATATAAAAATATACCGATCTCATATAAATTATGATCGTATTAATTATATTTTAATATTTCTTTTGCGTTGCGTTATATGTTTAGAGATAAATTTTCAAAATATAACAAATAAATAAAATAGTTTAATAATAATGTATACATAAAAAATAGTATTTAATATATAAAGTCTAAATCATAAAAAACAATCATTATAAGTATTTTCTAAATATGTTATAATATTATTAATTAGTTCTTATTATAACAAAATTTCTTAAAGTACTCTTCTAAGCGACTTTGTCCATAAAAAATATTTATTTTAAGTAATTTTATGGACCTTAAATCCAAAATAAAGATCTTAAATACAAAAAACATCTAAACTTGAAACGAAAATAGACATTAGAATTTGCATTAAAAATCTAATTTAATTATTATCTAATCCTTCATTAATATTTAGATTCGAGTATTTAATAATATATTAGCTCATATTTTTAATTTCTTAAACTAAAAATTCTGCTTTTTCAAGTATATGATCGAAATTTGGAATAATATTAACAGTCCTTTTAATATTTGAAAACTTATGAGAGATAATTTTTTTAATTACTTCTTTTTAAAAACCTAAATTTGAACAAACACATAATTATATTAAATTTTCTATCTTTTATAAATTTATATGATTTATTTCTATTTTTTATTTCTTTAATAAATAAATAAATGTATTTGAATTTTCAGAACCTAAAATACAATCAATTAAATTTTCAAAAAAATAAATTTATTCTTTTTTAGTGTTTATTTTAAACTCTTAAATAACTGAATTTCCTATATATTTAATTATATTTTTTGCCATTTCTTTTGTAGTTTTTAAACTATATAAATAATTAAAATAACTAAATCTTAGTCTTTCGATTTTACACATAATGGCTAACTTTAAATTCCATAAAAGATAAGAATCTTAATATAGTTCATCAAAAATAATATATTTTAAAGTAAAAAAATCTTATATATTATCTAATTTTAACATTTAAGTAAATTCGTAAATTTTTTCATTTTAATTTAAAAGTAATGCATATATGAATTAAAATATTAAATTTATTTATTCCAAAGAGAATCTTTTTTAATATACCTTTTCAATATTATTTATTAAAGAATTAGAAATCGCTTTTATTCTTACTAAGCCTCCAAGCTCAATAATAAGGTTTTCATTTATCAAATACTTTTCTGAGTTTTAAACCCAGAGTTATTTAAATGAGGTGATTTATGAAGATTTTAAAGGAACATCTTTTATTTAATTCAAAAAAAAATACAAAGAGAGTTTATAATTCCATTACTAATTGATATTTTCTTAAATTGTTAAGTATCTATTTTATCTTCCTCTTCTTGTTTTTAAAATAACTATGTTATACACAATTCAAAAAAATATGTCATTATTTGTGATATTTCTGTTAATTTTAAATTTGGAACACTTTCGAATATTTCTAATATTTATTTTTGTGATTAGAAATATATTTCGAAATTCTATTTTATCTATTATAGCATTTATATAATTTATTCATAAGGATTAATTAGAGCTTCTGGTACTTTTTTTTTTTTTTCAGTTTTCTATCGGATAGTTTGTAAATATTATTTACTTTCCTTTACTTCATCATCTGATTATTCTAATAAATCCATTTTTACAATATAATTTGGTTATTAAAAATATATATCGCTATTTACTTTCTTTATTGGACCATGAGAAGAAGATTTAGATGTTAAAAGGTTATTTTTGTTTTAACGAAAAAAATATATTTGTTGCTTAATCTGAATTCTTTTTAATATGTTAGCATTCTTTATTTCATTTTCAAGAATGTTATACCAATCTTCTTTATATCTATTTATTCCTAAATTTTTTATACTTTGTTAGTCCTAATAATATTACTAGATTTTTAAATATTTTGTTTTATTGAAAAATGTTGCTTTTTCTATATCTGAAAACATCATTTTTTTAATATAATGTGGTTAACTAAAATATTTATATTAAAATAAATATTAATAAAATAATGTTTAAATTTTAACCACAATATATATTTTAATTGAATCAATTTTTTAAAAAAATTAAAGTATTTTTTATAATTAAATTTTAAATATATAATTAATTAAATACATATACATATATATATATATATATAAATGCATATATATATTATAGAAAATGCTATTTATTAATTTTTTTTAGAAGAATATTTTAAATATAATGCTAATTTATAAATATTAAAATAAATTATTTATTTTTTAAATTTTTTTCTGTCAATTAAAATCAAAAAGGCTTATTTCGATTTTTTCTCGAATTTTTGGTTTTAAAAATAAACTAAAAAATTGATAAAAATAATATTTGAATAAAAAATATAAATAAAAACTCATTTATTTATATTATCTCTTAGTTTTTATAAATCTTTTATAATATTTTTAATAATAATTTATATTTATGTTTTCTACTTATATTTATCATTATTAATACATTTATTATAAAATTAAATTTAATTATCAATCATAATAGAAATTTTATCTTTTTCGATAGAAAATTCAAATTTTCTTTTCATACACTCTTTAATTAATTATTCCCAGAATTAAAAATGTGCTTGTAATAGCCTCGAATTTTTTTTCATAATATAACCCAACTAAATTAAATCAAAATTATTTAATTTATTGAAGTTTCTGGATATTCTCATAATTCGATCTATAAAATTAGTCTCAAATAAATAAGAGTCTATTATATTATCATGATTATACATTATTTAGTACAAAATTTTAATAATTAATTAATCATCAGTTTTATCAAGCCTTTAAATAAATATGTTCAGAATTTGTTAATTTATTACTTAAATTGAAGTATTTTAATTTTCTTTTCTATTTTTTTTTTTTTTATTTCTAATTCCTATAAATAAGCAAAGAATATCTAAACTATTTAATTATTTAAAATAGTAAGGTTTTCCATCTATTTGTTATTCAGTCTTTTTTTATTCTTATATTGCTAAATTAAGAAAATATTATTTATATATTTCCTATATTTCATTTTAAAAAGAATTATTATCAATTTGCTTTATACAATATAAGATAGTAGCGATTTC